ATTCCTACCATCCACCACCACCTTCGCAACTCACATCATCACCTTCCTCCACCCAACGCTTCTCATGCCGACTATCAACCACGTCATGACCATCACCCTCAGCCAATCACGCAAAACTTATCAATTCGCCGCAGTCGCTCAAATCCAACCCGCGCGCCCAGTCACCACACACAGGTCACACGCCCGCCTTTACTTTCCTGTCACATCCTATTGTTCCGGCGTTGTATAATCCCACACTATCGCAACTTCATGAGGTCAGATAGGAATAATCATCACCATCATCACAATTCAAGCTAAGAGTCGGAGTGAGTGTGGGGTATTTTGTCAAGTGATTGTACTCACACACTCACACACGCACGCACACAAAAGACGGGTGTCGCAAGAGGACACGACAGTGTCAACAGGACCTGTGTTTTCATGACATTAATTGAGCACTATGAAGGTCTTCGTAGACTCCCTGCTTTATTTGCTTTGCTAGAAGAATAACAACAATGTTGTTTTGTTTCAAGTAGTTACTTCGACATAGAGGAAACGTGTTTGTGTTGCTTTGGTGGCATTATTTCATACAGGAATTAAACTGCACTGTTCCCTCTGGATTAGGCTGAAGGAAAGATCAGACATTGTTCCCTGTACAATGAGGTAGGCTGTTGGTTTTTTTCGTTGGTTTTGGTTGTTGTTGTGGTTGTTGTTGTTGTTTTTAGATTTGTTTGTTGTTAGTTTTTTGTTTGTTTGTTTCTTTGTTGTTTTATTTTTTTGCTGTTGTTGTTGTTGTTGTTTGTGTTTTTTTCTTTTAGTTTTTTTTCTTATGGGGAGGGGTGGTGTGTGTGTGTGTGTTACACATGCCTCACTATAGTCAATGCAGATAAGAAATGCCCCCCACCACCCCCCACCCACCCCCATCCTGCGCAGTGCTGCTGATTAAAGTTGTCTTTAGGCCATTCCCAAAGGGGGGATATTAACATGTTTTATGCATAGTAGAATTGTAAATGGGCTGATTTATCAATGTCATTCCCATACCGTGCCGGAACAGCACAGGGGGAACTGCTGCTTTTTCTTTCCTCTTTCTTACTATCGTCATTTTCCCTCTACATCTTTTGTAGGTTTGTCGCTCTATTATGAACTACTATTTCCGGGGTCCCTTGATAGCCGAAGCAGACTTTGTGCTGTTGAGGCTTGAGAGGTGAGCAAAGTAAGCCTGATTCCTTGTTTGGATTTCTCTGTTGACACCCACCCCTTGGCGTTAATACAGACTTCAACATAAGTTAAGGACCACCTTGACAGACAGACCTGACTTTTTTAAAATCCGAAAAAAGCTAGAAAGGAATGTTTCAAAATATTTTACTCTGAAACTGAAAATGGGTTACCAATGCGTACTGCAATGCTTCCAAAAGGGGCAAAACCATCACGCGCTGCACAGAAATTCTCGGGGAATTTTTTTCAAATTTTGTTTTTTATCGACCTGTGTGCGACACCACGGACATTCCTCAGTTAAAATTTCTGGTGCACGTCATAAACGGACGTACGGTCTCGAACCAAGCTCACTTTGGTGGCAATATAAGCCGCGTTTCCGCAGAATCCAGTATCGCCTCAACGTGCCACCAAGACGAAAGCTGAGAGACTTTGATCGTGCCAGAGCTATGGCATGGCTGCAGGATGGAGTTGGAGCCCGAGAAGTTGCCAGAAAGCTTGCAGTGTCACACTCTGTCATTGTTTACTTGAGGCAGTGCCATCAAGCTACTGGATCAGTCCTAGAACGCCCACGTGCAGGTTGACCCAAGAAAACCACTCAAAATGTTTGCAAGTGGTCCGTTGAAGTCTGTATGTTCTTATGCAATTGCGAGCGCCGTTAAACGTTACTAAAACTAAACTAAGACAAGAAATGTGCCCAGTCTAAATATTGTCCTTGTACCCAGTTATACAAGCTCAGATGGCAATTACTACCTGGAGTTTGATTCCTTCTTTTTAACGATAGTAAGGTTGCTTGATAGGATTTACTTTTAAACTGTATGGCTTCGTTTCTGGATATTCAATATCATCTCCAACAATTAAGTTTGTCGGTTGGGTTTTGGAAATCAACTTGATTCAATTCTGCAAAGTCGTTTTTGGCCTCCGGCGGAAGTCTTTCGTGGATTCGTAACCCTCAGCCTGAGAGTTCATTCTAATCGACAGTCTCCGATCCCTGGACGACTTACTACAAAGTTGCAGCATGTTCCGAGCTTACCACTTGCTTTCTTGTAGTAGGCCCCAACTGAAGTGGTGTACACACTGTGCATCTCGGATAGGTCAGGTATGTACTAAAGTAAGATTAGATGATGTAAGAAAAGATGTTGGCTACTAGGTTTAGAATAGTACGCCAGAGCTTCTGAAAAATTTAACGTTGACCTTTGGCATTGGGATTTTTAAAAGACTAGATCTAGCTCGAACATGTGTTACTGATTGTCTCCATTTTATCTTGTTGTTACAACACAAATAAGTGGAGGATTTTCTTCACGGGTATTTTCGTTCTCCCTTCTGGCCCACGTCGTCGCGGCCTATTTGGTGAACTGAGGAACATATAAGGTAAACGTTCCTTGCCTAAGAAACAGTTTCCTACATAGCCCAGCCAGGAATTGAATAACAACGTTTTACTGCAAGTCCGATGTGGACATTCTTGCCACTGGACAAGGGGGCCTCCTTATCTGTAAATATGTTTAATGTGTGTGCACCTGAGGCCGTACTTACAATACATAACGTGGGAGGCATGGTGTACCTTACTGATAATGACAGCAAGATAGATGGATGGATAACTTTCACTCACCGAGTCTACCACTCAGTCTCACTTTCGTCCGTTAATTATTTCTCTCGCTCACGCGCCTTCCCTCCTCCTCTCT